ACCCAGAAAAGATGATGCCGGCCTGTACTTCTAGTACTGAAGAGACGGGGGAGAGAGGACAATGGATTCGAGGCCAGCATGAGCTACCTAGAGAGACGCTGTTCAAACGAAAACGAAAGTGTTTCAAGGCCAGAGTCACGTCTCAGGTCACAAATAAAGCAAGCCACCGAGAAAACCCAAATCCTTGACAGCCTCCCTTTCCCGAGCTTGCCAGACGAGCAGGGCATTTAACTGTTCTACCAGACCCTGCTCTTGAGTTCCCTGCTATTTGAAATGCCTTGGAAGCAAGAGGGAGGCTTCTTCAGACTCAGTGGATGAGAAACAAGGATGAAGTTTCTTTTTCTATAGTTTTTAAAAAGCGTTTTATTTAGAGTGCTTGAGAGGAAAGAATCGCCCGTTCCTATATTCTTCTCCCCATAGGTGCAGTATGACAGTCATAAAAGCAGGCACTGAGGAAGAAGAGTTCTGCCGGGCATTAAGCCTCTCCAGGGTGCGTTTCCCCGGTGCATTTCCCCAGAGCACCCCTCATACACAGACAGCCCGAGCCTGCACTGTGAAAGCTCTTTTCTGAGCTACAGAACTCGTTGATATGTCTTCTTCTTGTCATTCATATAGCATCTTCTTCGAGACAGCATCTTACTCAGAAGCCCGAGCTGGCCTTGGTGTCTTCATTTTCCTGTTTCAGCCTCCCGAACGCGGGGAGCATAGGCCCGTGCCGTCCCAACACACCTAACAGAACAGCTTGTACACCCCACGTTCATTTGACCTACGTGATCATGCAGAGATGGACAAAAACTTGGTTTAAAAACAAAAAACCTGCCTCCTTTCTCCTCTATTCTAGCTTGTTTCCTATAAATCATTAGCTTCCCCCAATCAAGTTTATTTGGGGACTTCAAATAAGACACCCAGGGGCCCGTGGGAACTGAAGGTCAGTGAGTTAACACGAGAGGGTGGCGTCCCGTCACAGTGCTCCTTTTCTGGTGGTGACTAAGCCCAGAGTCATGCTAAGAAACAGGCCAGAGGTGAAGGATGCCCGTGTAGGTTCAGATTGGTTGTTATGCTCCGCAGAACTTTAACGCCTTCTAGGGACCAGAAGAGAAGTAGAGGAAGTAAGAAAGGCTTCCGGGCTGAAAAATGTCTCTGCGACCATGTTTCCTCCTGTTCCCACCGAGAAAGACCCAAGGAGACCGAGCAGGTGCTTTCCAATGTCGACGCAGCGGAGAAGCCATGGCTTTGATTCCAGAAGTTATCAGAATCCACCTTTACCACTGCAGTCCTAAATGACTGTGTTTGTCCCGTGTCTTGAGTGTTCCAGAAAGGATCTACCATGGATGTGACTCCAATAGGTGTCATGATCTACGCATAGGACCCAAAGGAACTATTGATTTCTTCTGATGAGTTATGCATGCAAAATACAATAACCCCCTATATATGACAAGATAAAAGTGAAATTCATGTTGAGGCCTTGACTCAATGAGTGAGAAAATAATTTTTCAGGGTTGCAGGGAATCTAACGGTTCCCTGCTACATGCAGATTCTAAAGAGCCAGGCTTAGCGGTTTCCATTTTTACATGCTGCAGAGGTACACTAATTTGTATGTTTTTAAGGGTTATTTTATTATTTTTACATTTTCATTGCATTTTATTTAGTGTGTGTCTGTATGCGTATGTCTGTATGTGTGTGTCTGTGTGTGTGCATCTGTATGTCTGTGTATGTGTCTGTGTGTCTGTGTGTGTCTATGTGTCTGTTTGTCTATGTATCTATGTGTGTGTGTCTGTGTCTACGTGTGCCACTGTGAGCATGTGCAGGTCAGAGGACAGCTTGAAGGAGTCGGGTCTCTCCTCTCACCATGTGGGTCTCACAGTTGGAACTAAGGTTGTCAGGCTTGCTAGTGCCTTTGCCTGCTGAGTCACCTTGCCAACCCCGAATTATCATAAACTAATAGAGATTCTATCCCAAGAGGAAGCATTATTGACTTTTCTTAATTTCAGGTTGATAGTTTCTTCCTGACAGGAAGAAGAAAATTTTCCAGCAGCAGACTAATTTCTTTCCATGCTAGGACCCAGCGCAGAATTACCCTTGAATGCCTGGAGCCACCTTATGTACCTGTCTGAGGTGGGGCACAGGGGTGCTTAATTAAGAGTTGATACTAAATAAATCCACTAGCAAGGCACCCTGGGAGATTCCTAACAACTGAAGCCTCCGTTCAGCATCTTCTCTCACCATCCGATGAGAGAAACATAATGACCTCAGGCTCTATATGAACGCATCGTGTAAGAGAGGTCCGTGGGATGAATAATCCAGTTGTCAGAATGCATACGCGGCTGGTGAAATGCCGAGAAGACCGTGCAAAGGAGCCACTCCTGTTCGGTGCAGAGTCGTAGCTCAACAGCAGAGCACACCCCCAGCATGCGTGAGGCCCTGGATTTGACCCCCAGCGCCACCCACGGAAAAAGATACTTTCTGCTTCCAAATGGAGTCCTTGAGATAGGCAAAATATTTTCATATAGACTAATTCTTGGCCCTAGGCTTCCTCCTTGAGGTCAAGAGCTGCACCTGTCTTCCTCTTGCTTAGAAAGGCCCGCTCCCTAGTGAACTGACATGAGAGTCCCAGAATTAGGCCACTGTAGGTTGGAGGCCTAAGTGAGATGTCCTCTGCACTGTTAGGTGCTGAAAACTCAGTCCCTTTGCCAGATCCTATCAAGGTTCAGAGCAGTAGTCCAGGCCTTCGGGGCATGGCGTCCCCTGAGGGAAGGAGAGGGAAGATCCCCCAAAGCTGGAGGAACTGCTTCTTTGTGTGAATATCTATAAAGTCATTCTGAAGTATGGTGTGCTTTATTCCTGGTACTGTCTTTCAGAGGGCGGCTTCGATGGAACACAGACAACCGTAGTTAACATTAAATCATCGGCAGGGTGTAGCTGCGTCAGAAGCGGTACAGGAATTACCACATTCTCTCAGATGTGGTTCTCAAAAGCAGCACATTCATGGAGACAAACTCAGGACATGTTTTCTTTAGCAATCAGTTCTGCTGGTAAGGGAATTCAAAAGAGGAAATCTCTGGACTTCCTCGATGGGTTTTAAATATATCAGTGATGCTTTTGGGGGATGTCACTTCCCACCATCCAAATCTAAACTAAGCAAAGAATCTATGGGTGTAAAATTACTGTCTTGGGCGGAGTGGCTCCCACACAGACTGTCGAAAGGACTTTGATAGCAAAAGAAACTCATGGAGACTTTAGTATTCATGCAGATTTATTTCTCAAATGTTTAAAATATATAGTATAAGTATGTATGAAAAGAAGAAATATACTGTCGTCTTCCTACGTCTATAATTTCATTCCCTCTAAATGGAGAATAGAGTTGATCAAGTTGCCAAACCAAACATGACACTCCACTGTGCCCAGCCAATGGAAACGTTTAATTCACTTTATTGGTCCTGCAGCCTGGAACCTTACTTATTAACCTTCCAGCTTCCTTGCCATTCTCAGCTGGGATGGCAAACAGCAAATGAACTCAGAATAATTAAAATAATCTTCTGTTTTCACTTCGGAATCATAAAAGGCGTTTCACCCAAGGAAGCCTCCCAAAGAGTCAAGCCAAGCGACCCATGGGATAAAAGGGACATTTAATACACATGTAAATCATTTGCATCACAAATAAGACACTTCAGCAGGAGGTAGACACACGTCCCCACCGTTGGGATTAAGTTCCCATATTAATGCATGCATTTGCTGTGGTTATTTCGGGAGGAAGACTTCATCCATCAATGCTCTCTGCCACTAAGTAGGGCCGACCTGTAACTGATCACCCCGACCTGTCAGCACCCACTACCTAATTACATAAAGAAAAATACTTAAAAGCCTCATTGTCGTTTGCTTAGTATCTCGACTTCATGTTCAACGAGTGGCCTCTTTTGCAAAGTTCTTCAAAGTAATGGTAACAAGCACTTTTAAGAATTAAAAATGAAAAATATTTTTTGATGTTCTCTGTTAATCTTGTGTGCATGTATCTGGGCATGCGTGCAAGTGTGCTTTTATCTGCAGAGAAGAAAAAAGTAAGAGTAAACAGCCCCAATGCAACTGATTTGATTTAAATATTTATATTTTGCATTAGTCCCAAAGAAGCAAAACATCAAAATCTTGGCTTGAAACTCAGAGGTATTCTTCTCTCTAATCCTCAGTAAAGGATGAAAGATTTATATCATCCGAAGAGAAACCAGAGAATGAGATAATATTTATAAAAGATGCTTCTATTAAAAATTAGTTAATATATTTGTGCGATGAACATGCATTTTCACAATCACTAACACCAGTTTGTTTGCATTATCAATTAGCAATTTAAAATATTGATATTTTATAGAGAGGAGACAATTTTCTTCTAATAAAGACTATTCCTTGCTTTTCTTATTCTTAATTGTTTTTTTTTAAGGCTACATGTTTTGAAACTCAGAGAGTACAGTCTACCAATCATAATCATAGAGATTTTCTTTTCAAGCAAGAATTTCAAAGCCGAGCCCCCTAGGCAGCAATCAAACCCGTCTGTTTATTTTAAATGCCTTCCTGTGGGGGGAAAATAGTAACCCTACAAATAACATCACATTCTCATTCCAAGACTTGACCAAAGTTATGAAGTGTTTGCGAGGGCAGCCCACGCCCCCAGCCCTGCACACTGCAGAAACAAAGCAAAAAACTAAGCTTGGAAATGCCACCTCCTCACAAGCAGTCAGTATCTTTGATTTATAAGCGTTTTAAGGACCTCTTAAAATGGAAGAGTAGAATTTTCATGTACTCATTGGAATCAATATTGCTTTATAAACTTTATCAGGTATTTCTCGGCCGATTATACAGTCTTATATTTTTCTTCTGGCCTGTTCACACTCAAGAACTTTATCTTTGCATCCCAGGAAAGCTATTGTTTTAGAGTTTGCTTTTTAAAAAAGTCGGATAACTCTTTGAAAATAAACAACAAAATAAACAAGAAGATTTATGGGTGTTCTTACCCTCTTTCTTAGTGGGTTCTGGCATGACCGCAATAAAAGGTTACTCTCCCGAAAGTTTTCTCCCTCCAGCACCAGTTGACAGAAACTCCAAGAGCAGAGAGACCGAGCAGGTCTTCGGGTCGGTGTGACAAGCAGCTGCAGGGATAGCGAAGGCTTTTATACAGCCGCCGGACATCAATCACGTTGGCGCCTCCCTTCTTCGGCACAAGGATGCTGAAACCTGACAGCTCTGGGACCTTTCTTCCATCTGTTGTCTGCGCTCTGCTCCCTCGCCTGCTGGAAGGAATCTCCTGTCCATCTCGTGTGGCAGATGCGAGCACCTCTAACTTTCTAAATTCGGCCGCAGCCTCGTGCGCTTTCCTGTTCTTTTCTGTCCGACGGACAGATGCCTGTGCTGACTCAGCAGCGCACGGGGCTTTCTGGGTGATAAAATAAATAAATGAAAATTATACCATGTGAGCCTGGCTTCTCTCTTAATTTTCACTAAGACTTGAAAGGGAAAAAATATACTAAGATAATCATTTTTATTCCCATCTTAGCTGTTCATCTTCCTTATTTCTTAATTACTGAGATTAAAATTTTCATATTGAATTTTTACACCAGTGTTAGTTGGTCAAACTGAATTCCATATTAAATACCTCGTTTCATTTTTCTGTACCAAGACTAGCAAAGATGTCTATTAAGGATACATTGTATTTGCAATTTTTCAAGAAACAGTTTTGCTTTTTTTTAAAGATAGCAAGCATATACAAGAACGATGCAAGGAGATCCGCTACAACGTGGGTCGGACTGGCACTCAGGAAAGAAACCGACCGTAAAATCATACTATTCAATCCAATTTCCATGGATTGTGTGTGTGTATGTGTGTAAATATACGTATATATAAACTGTGTATATATGTATGTGTAATGTGTATACATATATATACACAGACACAAATGAACTGTACCTGTGGGGCAAAGGGTCAAGAAAGTCAGATAAACCAGACAAACACCATGGACAAACAAAAAGGTGATAATTAAGAAAGGAAATGGGCCAGGTGGTGGTGGCGCACGCCTTTAATCCCAGCACTCTGGAGGCAGAGGCAAGAGGATCTCAGTGAGTTTGAGGCCAGCCTGGTCTGCAGAGCAGATTCCAGGACAGTCAGGGATATGCACAGAGAAACCCTTTCTCTAATTAAAAAAAATAAAACTAATAAATAAATAAAGCTGGCAAACGGGCACAGAAGAGCTAACTAACCTAAGACGGTCACAAGCGGTGGCCGACTTGATTACGATGTCCTGAAGCTCTAGAGGAGCTGCCAAGAAGCCTGACCCACCAAAGGGCTACACGTTAAGTAGTTATCCCGTATGTCCATTGTCCATAAGCATAGCGCTTCAGACCAAGGGCTAAAATCTGCGTAGACTAGGCACCTGGATGCCTTCAATGGCCTGTGTTTTCGATACAGTTTGTCCCAAAGCAGCCACATTGTCTCGGTTAATCTCCCTGTGGCCCAGACACAGCTGGTTGGACTTAGTTCTGACAAGCACCATGCCAAGTTAAATTTTCATATACGGATGGGAACTCGGCTGGGCACTCAATAGCATCATGAGTTAGCTATGCGGGAAGAGGGGGAGGCAGGCTAGGCAGCACTCTCAGTGAGTGTAGTCTGTAAAACAGACTCTTTGCTTTAAGGCAACAGCCCATTAACGTCAGCCACAGAACAGAGTATTCTGAATGCTAAGTTAGACATGGCTTGAAGAAAAAAGAGGGGGACATTTCCATGTCTACTATGGGGATGCCAGGCACACGTTCAGCTGGTTAAAACCTCCAGAATCTAAAGTAAGATCCTTCTTAGGTTCTGTTTATGGGCCCGGTGTAATCTGGTCAAGTTGCTATATGGAAGTCTGGTGGACAATCTGTGCCTCAGTTTCCTCTTGTGTAAAATAAGGGATTGAGGGGTTGGAGAAATAAATGGCTCAGAGGTTAAGAGCATTGGTTGCTCTTCCAAAGGACCCAGGTTCAATTCTCAGCACCCACATGGCAGCTCATGGCTGTCTGTGACTCCGGATTCAGGGGATCTGACATCTTCATACCAAAGCAAATAAAATAAAATTAAATAAGTTATTAAAAAAATAAAATAAGGAATTTAAAAACTAATCTTGGAGGTCCACTATGCCTCCCCATGGTGATGTCTGGTGTGCTGGAAGGCTCTGAAAAAGAAGCCCTGTCCCAGCATTCCCAGCACACTGGGCAGAAAGGCAGAGTGTTGTGTTGCAGGGGAGTGTGTATGAGATGGGCAGATTTCACACATGCCATAAAGGAGCTTCAGTGCCACGGCTGGCTCCCACAGAGGCCCCGAGGGCTTTTAGCACACTGATCATTTTACTGAAGCAAACACATGCCAGGAAAGACTGCAGTCCTCAGAGAAAGTGTTAGGTGACCTGGGTAACTTTTTGGTAACAAGGGACTTCACTACAAAGATAAAAACGTTTCTGGAGGGGTTTAAAGGATAGGCAAGTTCCAAGATAAACAGCCATGCCATTCATTTCCCAGATGGTTAATGTGAAATTTTAAATTAGGGTAGTGGGGGTTTGCAGACTCAGAGGGAAGGGAAAATGGCCAGCGGGGCTCTCCCCCTTCTTTTGGTTAAATGTTTTGTTGAATTTGTGTGTGTGTGTTGTTGAATTTGTGTGTGTGTGTATGTGTGTGTGTGTATGTGTGTGTGTTATTGAGGGAGAAGTTGGATAGCCATAATACACACACACACACACACACACACACACACACACACACACACACAACAATAGCTGAATCAGGAAACACTTCTTTGCCACATAAAGCAAGGCCAAAATCAAATAGTTCAGAATCATCAAAAAGTCAGGCAATGTCACAACCAAAAGAAAAAAATGCCTTTCACCCAGGCACCGTGGCCTGGCTCACACGTAGTGATGTGGAGGCTGAGGCGGGGGGATCACTTTGAGAGCAGTTTGAACAACATAGTAAGAACTATTTCAAAACTCGTTAGGGGTCTCAAGAGATGTTTTGTCAGTGAGAAGCCCTTGTTGCTCTTGTGGAAACCCATGTTCGTTCCCACATGGTGACCCGTAGCTCTAGTTCTAGGGGATCTGACACTCTCTTCTGACCTCCATGGTCACCAGGCGTACATGGGGCATACATAAATACCTGCAGGCAAAACATTCAATACACATAACATAAAATAAGTAAGTCTAAATAATTAAAATATCTTAAATTATTTAATTGAAATAAAAAGGCTTTTAGTATACTAGTTATCACGCTGACACCTAGGGCAAGGAATGAGAAGAAAGGAAGAAAGGAAAACGAATTCAGAACCCCGTTTAAAACTTGCTTTTTTAAATTAATATACAAAGCACGATGTTTGGAGCAGGAAAGACGCCTCAGCAGATAAGCATACTGACTGCTCTTGCAGAGGATCCAGGTACAATTCCCCGCACCTACAGGGCAGCTAACTACTGCCTGTAACTTCACCTCCAGAAGACCCAATGCCCTGCTCTGAACTCGGCAGGCAGTAGGCATGCATAGGGTGCACAGACATACATGCATGAGAAACACGCCAGCATTGAGTTCTCTCTCTCTCTCTCTCTCTCTCTCTCTGTGTGTGTGTGTGTGTGTGTGTGTGTGTGTGTGTGTGTGTGTGTAATGTGTACCTGTGTAGAGGTCAGAGGACAACCTTGGGTCCTTGTCTTTACGTATGCCAGGCTCTCATTGGCCCGTGAACTTCCAGGGATGCTCTGGTCTCGGCCTTCCACCTTGCAGAAGCACGGAGAACACAGAGGCCCACACCCGAATCTCACTTGACGTGAATTCTAGGAATCTGAACTCGGGTCCTCACCCCTGCACCGCGGATGTGTTCCACACTGACCCTTCGCCTCAGCATGTGATTACGTCATCTTCAAACGCAACGCCTTTCTGTTCACCCGCGCCCCACCCCCACCCCCGCTTCTCTGTCCCCCTGCTCCCTCGTGACACCCCACTCCCAGCAGTCTCCTTTCTACTCTAATGTCGCCTGTGTTTTGCTGCCTTTCCTCCCATTCCTCTTTCTCCTCTCTCAGGGTCCTCCCTCGGCTTTCATAGCTTAGGCCGGTCTCTGCCTTCCTAACGCTGTGACCCTTTGATACAGTCCCTCGTGCTGTGGCGACCCCCAACCACAAAGTTATTTTCACTGCTGTCTTATAACTGTAATTCTGTTACTGTTAGGAATCATAACGTAGATACCTGAAGTGCAGGATATCTGATACGCGACTCCCGGGAAAGGGCCCTTGGACCCCCCAGGTTGAGAAGCGCTGGCCTATACCCACAGTAACACCCACCTGTGTGTGCGCACACGCGTGCGCACATGTATGCATGCGTGCGTGTATGCGTGCGTGCGTGTGTGTGTGTGTGTGTGTGTGTGTGTGTGTGTGTACCGACAGGAAAGACTAGGAGCCACATTTGAGAGAGAAGGTGGTATTCGTCTCTCCGGGTCCAGTTTACCTGCTTGCTTTATTTATTTGTTTGTTTGTTTGTTTATTTTTTGGATTTTTTCGAGACTGGGTTTCTCCGTAACTTTTGGTTCCTGTCCTGGAACTAACTCTTGTAGACCAGGCTGGCCTCGAACTCACAGAGATCCGCCTGCCTCTGCCTCCCGAGGGCTGGGATTAAAGGCGTGTGCCACCACCGCCCGGCTATACCTGCTTTATATAATGCTTCCCAGATCCACCCCTTCTACTGAATATTTTCTTTTTCTTTACAGCTGAATAAAATCCATTGTGTATCACAGCCTCATTGTCTATTCTCTCCCAAGTGGATGTCTTTGTTGATCCATTTCCTGGCTATTATGAATAATAAACATGGCTATACACATATCTCTCTGACAGTTCACCGAGTTCTTTAAGAGTCTTCCCAGGAGAGATTATATCTAGGTCATAGGGTAATTACAGAGTTAAGTTTGATGTTGTTTGCCGTTTGTTTGTTTGCTTGCTTGCTTGTTTGGTTGGTTTTTAATTTTGCTTTTTTTTTTTTCAAGACAGGGTTTCTCTGTGTAGCCCTAGCTGTCTTGGAACTCACTTTGTAGACCAAGCTGGCTTCCAGCTCAGCGTTCTGCCTGCCTTTGCCTCCCCAGTGCTGGGATTAAAGGTATGTGCCACCGTGCCCGGCTCCAGTTTTAAGATTTTAAGAAATCTCCATCATGGTTTTATATGGCCGTATACT